GTGCTGCTTAATACTTGTTTCGAATTGAAATAAAAAGGATTGATGAATAGAAAGCAAAAATATATATATATTTTTTTTTTATAATTTTTGTGACAATGTCAAAGACTTTACTGTCACTTTTGATCAATTTCATGCATCCTTGCTGAATAAAAGTATTTTGAAAGATAGTGTAGATAAAGTATCAGTTGCGCACCTAATGTGCATTGTTTATGTTTTCATTTTGTTGTAGTAAAAATCTTCCTAAAATATGAAAATGCCATTTTTACCAACTAAAGTCACATCATTTTCCACATTTGTCAGAACTTGAAGGCAGCTTGAAGCATTCTTTATTTTGACTAGCATACTTACCCAGCTGAACCCAATTTTGCTTTTGTCACTGAGCAACATTAAGTCAACTGAACAAACCAAGTCATATTTAGTCTTCTTATCAGAGGGAGATTTAGAGCTTCTTAAAGGCTCAACGTGAAACTGAACAGGCTCAGGCCTCCCGCAACTGTCATATTCACTCGAGAGTCAATAAAACGTTCTACTTTAAGCATGTGAGGTGCGACTTCACATCCTTAGCACGGCAGATACAAGAATGCCTAATAAATGAAAGGTGTTCGCTTGAAGCAGAAGCCTTTCACTGTTCCATGTGTTTGCGCTACATCAATTTGCACACAAACGGATGCATGCATGCTTTCCAGTTGTTTATTGCCATATGTCTCTCTCCAACCATGTCCACTGCCTCATCCTTTCTCTCTTCAACGCCCTCAATTTCCCTCAACCCTCTTTTTTGTCTCTCAACGATTTCTCACTTTTCTCCCACGCACTTTCCCACATCCTCTTTGTTCTCTCGTTCCTTCCTTTCTGTCCTCGTTCACCCCCTACCGACATTCTCTCAACCTCCCCCACCTCCATCCTTCTCTCTCCATCCCTGTCTCTACAGATCTATGCTCAGCAGCGCAGAGAAGTCGGAGAAGACCAGCGTAGGGCCGGAAGACGACAACAAAGATTCCTCCCCCGGGGGCGGAACTCCTCCGGCCGCTCCCGTGTCTTCACTTAGAGACCAGGCGAAGCCTCGCTCACTCCGCTTCACCTGGAGCATGAAGACCACGTCTTCCATGGAGCCCGGCGAGATGATGAAGGAGATTCGGAAGGTTCTCGACGCCAACAGCTGCGAGTATGAGCTGCGCGAGTGCTACATGCTGCTGTGCATGGCTGGTAACCCCGCCCGCGACGACTTCGTCCAATGGGAGATGGAGGTGTGCAAGCTGCCCCGCCTCTCGCTTAACGGCGTGCGCTTCAAGAGGATATCTGGGACGTCTATTTCCTTCAAAAACATCGCCTCCAAAATCGCCAATGAGCTGAAACTGTGAGAGGAGAAAGAGATGAGAAAAGTGAAAAAGTAGCATATTAAAGAGTCTCTGAACAGGGATGAGTGAGGATCGTATTGCTCAAACACAACCTGCTGGTATGGCTAGGTACAGAGAGAGATATAAGATCAGATTCATACAAACGGGGGGGGAAAAGTAGCACACTGGCCCTTCATTGAGGAGTTTTGGAAGAATAATCTCTGCAGGTTCTTGGTTCATTGTCCTGAACATGTTCAATTCACAAAGGTTCTCTTTGTACACTCGCACACAAACGCACCTATTGCCTATTGAAAGGGATAGAGCTTAAAACGCCAAACTTGTAAGAGGGGTGGCCCTAAAGTATTCACAGGGTGGAGGTGGGCAGTTTAGGACAGAAGTTTGTGCCCCCTTAAGAGAGAGACACTCTCTCTCTCTCTGTGTTTATTTCTTCCTCTTCTTCTATCGACAGGGTTACGCCTCACCGTTGTTCAGTAAGAGCCAGAACTTGATCAATACTGAGAGGATTATAAATTCTGGTTAAGGTGATTTTAATACTTAATCGGCTGGGTTTAGATTTGCTGTACTGGAATGGGTGAATTTCTGTTGCCTTTTTTATTTTCTTATAGAAATTAAATGTTTCATTGTTGTATTTACCAATGATTATGTTTTAATATTATTCTTTTTTTTTGTGTGTGGTCTCGTGTTATTGATCGTGCTATGCCTTTGTATAAAGAATGTCTGAAAAATCACCACATGACTCCCACTGAACCTTTCACACTCTCGCCCCGCTTTGTCGCAAAGGATTATGGGGCAGCAAGTACTCTCCTCACACTTAAAACAAAAAAAGTCACTGGAAAAGACATTAAAGGACTCAATCTTTGCAACTAATCATTCCCATGCCATTTTCGTGACTTAAGGAACTGATGTCGAGCTCTTCTCTGCATCCAACACCTTTCATGCTTCAAGCCAAGAACTTTCCACCTCGGTCTCGTCTGCGGGTGGCTTTTTGGCGTTACGCATTTGGTGGTACACTCTTTATGAAAACGTGTCGTGATTGAATGTGTATGTATGTGTGAGAGATGATGGAGTGTCATATCTGAATAACCAAAAGGCTCGCTTAGTTTCATATTCAATGCAGAGACTATTAATATGTAGCCTTGAGACAACAAGTACCTGCCATGAAGAGTCAAATATTGGCATTCTGTTCATTCCAATATTTTGTTGGCATTATCATTTTCACTATTGAAATCAGTTCGGATGTCATTCTCACACAAGCAGATCAGTAATTCGAGCAGATGGGAACCAACCTGCAGATGTGTCTGCGTAAAAGAGAGAGCAAAAAGGTACACTGACTATGAGCTAGAGAGTCACAGTGTGTTTCCATCCATTTCTGCTGAGCTGTACATGCTTGCATGCATCCTCTAGTTGACATCGGGCGCACTGTCACCTCTGTTGTTGTGTAAAGAGGAAGGGGGTTGGGATCAGATCTCCTTAAAAAGTCTGTCACCAGTTTTGGGGGACAACTGTGCACATCTGTGTTTTATACCTTCATAGAAAATAATGATTATCTTTTTTTTTGTCATGTACTTTGCTGTTCTCACAAATGATCATTTGTTCAAGGTGCTGGGATCCAATTATCTTAAGTATCGTTTATTTTTCTTCAGGGTTGATTGTTTTTATTCACACAAGTTTTTCGTTGCTGTAATTTTATTATTTGTGTCAGACTCTTTGCTGTTGGGTTAGGGGGGTTCGCATAGAAATACACCAAATGTTTTTTTTTTCTTTTTGTGCAAAGATGATTATGATCAATGATAGTAATAAAACAATTAAATTCAAGCTGACTGTATTAAAACTAATGCAGTATGTTCTGACATTTAATATACCCATTTGTGGCATATCTGAAGATATGCTTGATTGCTAATCTAAGCTCTTGATATACTTGTTTGTAATTGGCATATAGTAACAATTGGTCCTAAGATAAATCTGAGTTAAATATATATATATATATATGTTGTCCTAAACAAGGGGTTTCCAAGCTTTTTGAGGATCCCCATGTATGATGATCCTAACCTAAACTATAAAAGCAGCTATATATTTCAATTTAGAAGGAACCATTTATACTGTATGAGAAACATATTAAGGTTGATTATTATGAAGAAAACAATGTTTAAAAATATATATAGGTTTTTATATAGGCGCAGTACTAAAAGCTTAAGAAATTTAAATATGATCTATTACTTTTTAGTTACTTAACCCTTACTTTTGTGATGGGGTCAATTTGACCTACATTTAAACTGCTTTAAAACTGGATGAAGTGTTTGCGTATTGTTGAAGTGTGACTTTTTCCTTATTTGGGGTCATGAATGTGAAGATGTGTTTTGGAAAAGCTGTACGAATTTTGTCTACCCTGGTATTAGGGGTCAGCGGGTCACCCCATCTGTTTCCATGTAATTTGCCAAAAATGGACAAATTTAAAAACAGTAAAGAGTCAGTAAAAAGAAGAAGAAAAAAAAGATCAAGTGATTAATTTTGACCCCTAACAAAAACGGAGGACTTATTGTATTAACACAGCGGGAGGGTAATATTTACGAATACAAACTTGTTTTTGAGTGCATGTGTTTGGAATTGACAACCGTATTTAATAACAGACGTGAGTCTTAAACTTTCCCCTTAAATACAGCATTCGCAAGTGGATCAACGAGCTGATGCCAGTCCCCTTTTTTGGTTCTCAAGCTTGTCGTGAGTATCATAACCAGTGACAATTATATACATATTTAATATGGAGACATCTATTACTTTGGAAAGTTACATCATAGGTGACACACGAGTCCATTCGAGGACGGAGTTTATATCTCTCAAATCTTAATAAACCAACAGCGGCTTTTATGTATAACATACTTAAGTAGAGGAGCTTGACCGTTTGAGTCGCGCTCAAACTACAAAACTGCGGATGAACACGGTGACTGCAGCTGAAAACCTGACATCTCGTATCTCAAAGTCTGTAAGTTACTAAAAGCACCCCTGAAAACTCAACAAACACAAAACACGCGTGTGCCTAAAACAAAGTGGTTCACTCGCGCTGAATGACTTTGTCCAGTACGGTTCCGTTCACACAGATGTAAGCCGAAAACACGGCTGTGCTTCTTGAAAACAAAGTATTTCTTTATTTTAAAATGGGCAGATTTAATTTTTATTTCTTACTGTTAGAGCTACAGCTATCATAGGTGTCGAACTTTAGAAAACAGAATGGAGAATTAAACTGATATTAAATGTGGTTAATGGGTTAAAAATAATTGTGCTTAATATAAGATGCCTGTAAAAAAATTACTAAAAATGTGTCATATCACACCTGGGGCCTATACCATGAAGCCGGATTAGCTGGCTAGCCAGGTAAGTTTCAATTTATTTTTCGCCAAGCCACTTTCATGGTTTTGGGCATCCTAGGGTGTTCATCAGCATAACTTGCGCTCCACGGCTAACCTGCTCTGAGGCAGGTCAATGTTCTGGATAAAAGATCTCAAACAGAAACTGGACCAATCAGCTGTGAACAAAAAAAGTGACATCTCTGGCACAATAAAGTCACTCCCCAGTTTCTCTTGCTCTAAATTAAAGGTCAGTACATAGCATGTAAAATATCTGCAGAATAACAACAAAATCATTTGGTCATTTTCACTTTATTTTGAAAAAAGTCTAAAACAAAAATAGTCACAAACAAATCCAGTTCACATGTAAACAGTTCTCACATACATACAACATTTTGGAAGAAACGAGAACTCTTGCACGGGCTTCCTCGGGAATCATCTTTAGTGTTTTGATGCCTCTGTGTTTGTGCCTTTAAGAGCGAGATGAAATCAGTGTATTCCAGAGTTGCAACAAAAAAAATCAAGTATTTTGCATCACTTAGTGCTTAGTCAATATTAACTAGTACTACATAAATTCACTACCTAACAATATCTTAAAGACCTAATTATACAAACAACAAAGCCGCTTCACCCAGTATGACTATCAACATGGCTCTTCACTGGGAGAGTGAGTATACACAAAGTTTCCTGACACCAGGTGCACTTCAGAACACTCACTAGTGCCTGTAGTCATGCACACTAGATGATATGCAGCCGTTGCCATAAAGATGGTGGAAGGAACTCACACCAGTCCGTTTTGTGGCAGTTTTTAATTCCAGTGTATAAGGTTTTTACCCCACAATTTTGGTTAAACTTCCAACTTCCGCTGAGCATCTATTACAGAAGGTGATTCAATAGCTGTAATTACAGTGGAAGCTGTTGTGCTTGAGACTGTTCACGAGGTAAAGCTGTAGAACCTGAGGACAGATGGGTTTGTTTTTTGGCAAGACTGTGGTTTATATGTATGTATATCATGGAGGGTTCTCCTTGGTCCTGTAGTGGAGAAGCGAATCACACTGTACAGTTTAATCCTTCCTGACTTGCTAAATGTGTGTTTTGGTGCATGTCCAGCTTTGCTTCCAGTTCACCTCGGGGTTTTTTTCCTATATTTGAGAGGCATTACTACACATTGCCCTTTTACAGTGATGTAAAAACAAATTCTCTGTTAAATGACTATTTGGGTGTCTTAAACCATTATAAAAGGGCAAATACTACATGGCGATCAGTGTGACTGGGGGGATTCCACCTTCAGCCCCACTAGTGAGGGTGGCAGCTGTCCAGCAGAGGCAGAGGAGGAACTTAGAGAGTTCCTCAGTGCCCCCTGGTGGAGCGAGGTCACCACTGCGGGTCTGATGAGAGGAGGGGGAGGGTGATTGTGGGGCGTCCGGTTTTGTAGAGGTCGCGTCTGTAGCGGGGGAGGCTGGCGCAGCAGGCTAGGGGGTGCTGAGGGGGGTGCAGGGCGCAGTAAGGGTGGAGGTTGAGTGAGGGGTGAGGAGGACTGGGCAGAGTTGGGGTTCCCAGCCACACTAACATCAGAAGAGGGCAGTGGACTGTCAGAATGAGGCGGAGAGACGCCATCCATCTTCACCTGTAACAACAAAGAACGATGGAAAAGAGAAAATGAATTCCTCTATTGTTGTTAACCGTTCTTTATCTCTAAGATAAATAAGCCCTGCCTGCTGGAACACGTCCTATTCAAAAGCCTTGACGAATTCAAATAGTCTTTTTCCTCATTCTCTCTCACCTCATCATCTGACGACCCGTTCAGCTCCATGTTCACGGTCCTCCCGCTGCCCCCTTGCACCACTTCCTGTTCTGCCTGCCATTCACGTAGCACCTCCTCAAGATTGAAGCGTCTCCGGTAGCTGACGAAGAATGAGCTGACCTGCGCCACTGTCTTGTTGCCAATCACGTCCGCTATGGATGCAAAGTCTTTACCGTATCGCCTGACGGCTGGAGAGAATGTGGATGAAAAACTGCTCAGCAATGCTTAAAATTAAACAAAAATAATCAACCAGAATAATACTCTTATTAATTCAGTATGTAGTATCTTGCTTTGAAACAAGGTACATGATGGGAATTCCCTTTGTATTGCTCTGAACACACATGCATAATGACATTTGGTCAAATCAGCATGAACCTGGAAATTGTGCAAAGATAAATAATTGATAATAAATACTGTAATATTCCATGAACAATAAGAATTCTCCATTTTGATTTCATGCTAAATTTAATCAATCTCCCACTGTCATAAAAGAGTGCATGCTGGTGACTAGGTACTCGCTAATTTAGCTTGAAACCATATTTTTAGGACAGATATTAGTTGTACCATACATTTTGTTAACTCGTTGGTTAGCTGGATAATTTAGCTTCTATTTTACGATATCAACTTGTGCAAGTAAAGAAGTGATCTTTTTGGGTTCTTTAGTTTTGCGAAGGTCTTCTCTGCTCTCAAACCCGCCATTACAGAAGCATTCTTTTTTTATACAAGCTTTAACCAGGGATGCATGATGTTACAGCTCTGCCTGATAACCAATGAATAGCTGATATTAAAGTTCTATGCTATTTTGTCTAAACACTGAAAACACTCAAAATTAAAACCATTCGTTTTAAATGCTACATGTATATTCAGGGATCATAGGAAATAAGAGATAATAATCCAGCTCACCTTGAACAGCCAGGAGTTGCTCCTCCGTTGTCCAGCGAGAGTTGATTTTTTGGGTGGGCTGACGGAAATGCAGCACAGGGAGAAACATTATCATGTAGCATAACATTGGCATTTTGCCCAGAATCTACTTACAGGTTTGGCAAGCTCTTAGAGAAAAAACAAACTTGAACTTTAAAAATATTATGCAATTAGGCCTTATCAGTATCTCAGAAACTAAGCCTGTACATTCAAACTGTCAAAATACATTAAATGGATTTAATAATGTCTTGCTTTTTTAACTTCTACATGTATGCCAGTTTTTTAATGTAGTGTAAATGATAAATGTTTGTAGTTTGTATATCAGAGCAATGCGGGTAGAAACGTACCTCTGATGGTCTTAAGGCTTCGATTCCATCACCCAAGTTGTGCTTGAGAACACTATTGGTTTGCTTGACACTTTGGACCTAAAAGCAAAACAGAGAGGCAAAAATGTTCTAAGTGGTGATTGTTGTGTAGTTATATTTCCATTAGTAAATTTTTTTTTGTCTCGCCAAAGCTGCATTTATCAAAAACACATTAATACTGTGAAATGTTATTACAATTTAAATTGAACTGTTTTCTATTTTAATACGCTCTAAAATGTATTTCTGTAATGGCAAAGCTGAATTTTTAGTGTCACATGATCCACATGATTAAAATCACTTTATTATGCTGATTTGGTGCTCATGAAACATTTATCATCAATTTTGAAAACAGCTGTGCTGTTTAATATTTTTATAGAAATACATTTTTCTAGGATTATTTGATTTTTTTATTTGATCAATAGTGTTATTTTTTAAATAAAAAAATTCAATTTGATCAATCCTTGCTGAATAAAAAAAAAAAAAAAAAAACGTACTGATTCCAAACTTTTGAACACTTGCGTAGCACACAAACTCCTCCATCGTATATTCACTTGCGAGTCTCTCAGATTTACAAACTACCAAACCCATTGTGATTTGATGCGTTGCACTTTACCTGTCTCTTCAGTGACACTAACTGTGTGTCCAGCTGTCTGAGAGTAACAGCTCCTGAATCAGTGGACACTGAGAGACCAACAATGTCCTCCTGTTCCAGATGCATGCCTTTAGGAGGCCTGCGGCGAGCGCGAAGAGGGTGGTGACGGTACTGCGCACACTGGTTCTCTTTCCGAGTCAGACCAGACTTGCTTGAACCTTTATCACTTCCTCCTCCATTTCCAGAGCTCTGCTTTGTCATCTGAAAAGCAGCACAAATGCAGTGTAAATGCAGTCACGCACATGCAGTCTATTTTTTAAGATTAAGATTTTAGGTTAAAATTCATGTAAATGTTTAAAGGAAAATAGGTGTTTATGTGACTGGTCATCTTTTTTTTTAAACAAATTTTTGCTTTCACTAGTCCCTGGCTGCTGATTTTTTTTCATATTCCATTTAGTCTCTAAATTAGTATGGAGTTAAAAGCTGTATGTAATATATCTATTATCAAAGAATAAACAAAATACTGTGTTGAATAGTTTAAAGGGGTCATATAACGTTGCTAAAAAGAACATTATTTTGTGTATTTGGTGTAATGAAATGTGTTTATGCGGTTTAAGGTTAAAAAAACACATTATTTTCCACATACTGTACATTATTGTTTCTCCCCCTCTCCTCTCCTTTCTGAAATGCGTCGATTTTTACAAAGCTCATCGGTCTGAAAAAGCGAGGTGTGCTCTGATTGGCCAGCTATCCAACGCGTTGTGATTGGCCGAATACCTCAAGAG